TCTGTTCTGCGGCAAAGGCAGCGAGGCCAGCCGCCTCCCCTGCTGAGCTCACCTGCCTGGCCGCTGGTGGGCTCCGCGTCGTCGGGGCGGCTACCGGGAGCGGCCGCGCCTCTCGCCCGATCGCCGGTGCCGGGAACGTGGGCGGGCTCCCCAACTGCCGCGGCGCTGGAACGAGCGCGGGCGGGCGGGCGCGCGCCTCCCCGGGTGGTCGGCAGGGAGAAGCGTTGAGCCGGCGGGGAAGCAACGCCGCCAGTGACGGTCAGGTTCGACTCCCGGCCTGGCTGAGCCCCCCCCCCCCCCCCGTCTGTCTGTTCCCATTGGAAGGCGATCACCCTGGACAGGTCCCCGTGATATAAGGCAGAATCCAATAGTGAGCTTGCACTGCGCACCCGTGGAGCAGGTCCCTTGCGCTGCCCCATCCTCCTGCGTGAAGGGCTCTTGCTGAGCACGGCGGCCTTTGCTCAGATCCCCTGACCCCCTTCTCTCCTGCCCTTCGAGCCCCGGGAGAGAAGCCCGCCTCCTTTTCTGCCAGGCAGGGCTCTCTCGAAGAGGGCTGTTCTCTCTCCTTACTAATAAGTGAGGATATTAGATCCACAAAGCCAAATGTCATTTTAACGCAACTGCCTTGTAACTACGGTTGTGTAGTGAGGACTCCTTATTACAACTGGCATGTGATAAAAGAACTTTTATACTAAAATCCAGCTCTTCTCCCTGGGAATTACTGAACTCGGGTGCGAAGCCAAATTCTCAAATCTCTTTATAAATATTGCAGGAGAGGAATCCAACTGGACAATTCCAGCCCTGCCAGGAGCCTTTACCTACACCTGGAATACAGGAAGGTGGAGCCCCCACCTGAAAGGGCCGAGGGGGAGAGGTGCTAAGGCGGGCCTGCAGATTTCCCACCCCGCCCCGCCCCAGGCCAGGCGATTCCGAAGCTCCCGGCCTGCAGCAGAAGCAGATCTTCCGCCTGCAGCCTTCTACCCCCCCCCCCCCACTTCCCGGAGCCCAAGAACGGGCTGGGAAAGCGGCAGCGGCTCCCTGAGGAAGGGCCGGGGGACGGGCGTCCCAGGGTCCTCCTAAAGCCCCTGTGTCTCCTCCTCCCTTCCCCACTACCCCACCCTGAGGCTCCCGTGGAAGACTAGATGTCCCGGGGAGAAACGGGCGTCCTTCTGCCGCTCCCTCAGCGCCACCTTCTCTTCCACTGTCCACCCAGGCCACGCGTGTCCTATTTGGGGGCGCAGGTGCCTCGCTCGCCAGCCCAGACCCACAGCCCAGCCTCCGCCTGAGGGACCCCCTCCGCCTGCAGGCAACGGGCACAACGGCGCCCCGACAGTCGAGTCGGCTTCTCCACATCGGGGCGGGGTTTCGTGGGCGAGGGGCGGCGGGGGGGGGGATATCTGCCTCTTCTGGGACTCCCAGCCGCAGCGGTGCTGGGATTTGTACTTCGCTCCGTAACCTGGTGGACAGCCCACCCACCCCACCTTGGGAAAGCTCGCTTGTCGCAAAGGCCGGGGCGGGCGGGGTCGAAGTCCAGCGGAACACCTGGGCGAGAACCGACGACTGCCTGCAGGGGCGCAGACGGGCAGGGGGCGGGGCGGGAGGGAGGGAGGCGGCTGCGGCGCCGCCCCTTCTCGCTGGCGGGCCCTTTCGCTTTCGTTTCCCGCGGGGCTGCAGCTGCGGGCCTCGGTACCTCCGCCCTCCCGGGCTTCCTTCCTCCTCTTGGGCGGACTTGCGGGGTTTTCCGATGGCGGCGGCGGTGGCGGTGGTCGGGGTCCCCCCGGATGTGGCCGATGAGCTGCTGGTGTTTTACTTTGAGAACCGTCGGCGCTCGGGCGGGGGGCCGGTGCGGAGCTGGCGGCGGAGTGGCGACCGCGCCACTCTAACTTTTGAGCACCCCGAAGGTGAGGGCCACGGCTGGAGGGAGGCTGGGGACAGGCCGGCGGGGAGAAAGGCCTTCCGGCCCTGGGGCTCTGCCGGAGGCGGAGGCCGGCAGCCCCGAGGCTTGCCCCCGTTCCACCGGGGCTTTCACAAAACGCAACCGCCTTCCCACCACACGGTCACCCTTCCTGGGCCGTCCAGGTTTTTGGAGCCAGGTAGTACGTGGCCTTGTGCTGCTACTAAGGCACAGAGGCTGGACGTTGAGCCCAGTTTTGCTCAGCCGGAGTTACAAAAGCAGCAAATAGGTTGGGCTACAGATTCCACGGGTTCCATGACTGAGGCGGCTGGGATGATGGGAAGCATAGTCCATGGGGACTCGGAGGGCTATGGGGCTGCGGCCTTTAGTGCTGCAGCTTTGTCCCTGGCAGGTCCCCCCAAACGGCTGGCTGGGCCTTTCTGGGCCTTGGCTTCTGAGGAGTTTGAAGCCCTGGTGGGGAGGGTGGGGCTCTGGCAGTGCCTTGGCTGGCCTCTGGGGTGAGGACCTTCCTTCTGGAGGTCACCCGCCGATCTCCTCCCTCGCAGATGCCCAGAGGGTCCTCTCCAGAGCTGACCACGCCCTGCAAGGGGTGCAGCTGGTGGTCCAGCCCGCTGCTCCTCGGGATTATGGGAAGGTGGTCCTCCGGGGCCTGAACCCCCAAAGCAGCCTGGAGCTGGTGGAGCTATACGTGGAGCACATGCTGGATTGCGAGAGGGACGCTTACTCCCTCCACCGCAGCCCTGCCGGGGACCAGGCGCTGGTGCAGCTGCAGGCAGCGCTCAACCACCCAGGTACTTGCCGGAGGTCTCCCCTTCCAAGCACAGCCGGCTGAGCTTCCTTGGGCTCCCTGAGGGGCCTTCCTGCCCTCCAAGCTTGGTTGCCACCGGGGGCCTCGAACCTCTTCTCGGCACCTGCCCCCTTATTCTGCCCTCTCCCAACACCAGGTGGGGCAGATACCCAAAGGGCAGAGAAAGCACCGCCTTCCCAATGTGCCAGTCCTGCATTGAGGAACATCACCAGGGCTGCTGACTTTGGCTAGCTGGGACCGTGTGCCCACCCGGAAGGGTCCTGCTCTATGGGCAGAGTTAGCCGTCATCTGCCAGGGATTCCTGGCTTCACTGGGCCTGGAAACCAGTCTCTGGCCTCCAGTTGTGTCATCCGTTTTCAAAGGAGGGAGGTTAGCTGGCTTCCCCCTGGCTGCTTTTCTGACTGGGGTGGGGGGCATAACAGAAGGCAGTTCTTAGGGCAAAGTCTTCATTGGCTGCCTTGACTGAGTTCCTTGGCTTCCCTGGCAGAGTTCTTGGCGCTGGCGGATCGGGTGCAAAGCCGCGTGCTGGACGGGGCCAGCCTGGTGCTGGACTGGGTGGAGCAGACAGACAGCATCCTGGTTCGGAGTCACCACGGAGTCATCCAGCTGCAGCCAGAGGTGCTGACCCTCTACTTTGAGAGCAGGCGGAGTGGCGGGGGCCGCGTGCAGGCAGTGCGGCTTCTCCAGGGAGGCACGTTGGCTGTGGTCTCCTTTCAGGACCGCGCAGGTGAGGGCTGTTCGAGACGCCTCTCTTGGCTCCTGCTGAAAAGGCTCCTCTGATGCTGATGCCTTTGTTTCCCGCAGTGGTGGATCGGGTGCTGAAGCAGCCCCACCAGCTCCCAGACGGCCGTCTGAAGGTCTCCCCTCACTATGACTTCCTGGAAGCCCCAGAGGCCGCAGCAGAGCTGGCCCCGTCCACCACCCTTCCGGTGGCAGAAGCAGCTACCAGGCGGCTGCTGCAGTCCCAGGGCGTCCTGCAGGAGCTGGGGGCTTTTGCTCCCGAATGCGTGCTTCGCTGCGAAGAGGCTGAGCTGTGCATCTCGGGTGGGGACCCGGCTCTTCGGCAGCAGCTGCGGGAGTGCATCCAGGCAGCCTTGCATGCGGTGACGCAGACGCGACTGCCCTCCTCAACCTGGATGCTTGAGTTCCTGCAACGGGCAGATGTGCAGGAGCACCTGGCGGAACGGCTTGCTGAGCGCAGAGTGAGCGCCTGCTACCTTCCCGCTGCAGAGGAGGTGGTGGTGGTGGCCCTGAAGCCCCCCGTGGCTCAGCTGGCCGCCTCTCTCCTGGACTCCTTTCTCAGCTCCATCTCCCTGCCCTTGTCCGAGCGGCAGTTGCTGGCCTTGGCCTCCCCACACTGGGCCCGGGTGCAGGCGGGGCTGCGCTGCTGCTGTGTGCGCCTGGCTGATGACGGGGAGCACCTGGAGGGCCTCACCTTGCCTGGCCTGGAGGAGGAGAATGTGGCTGAGCTGAAGCGTGGCCTGCAGGACTGCCTGCCGGATGAGGTGCTGGTGACCACGGAGCCTGGACGTCTTCACTACCTTCGGCTCCATCGCCAGGAACTGCTGGCTGGCTTGGCTGACGTCACACTGCTGCCCCTGGAGGGAGCCGAGGTCACCGGCTTGCGGGTAAAAGGGGTGCGGCTGCAGCGTCCTTCCATGTCCTGCCCTCGACACACAGGGTGCCAGGCACTTGCCAGCTCTGCCCTGCTTTAGTGTCCCCTCTCGTGCCAGCTGCCACGTGTCCTTGGGCACTGTGGCCAAAAGGGTGGGGGGGGGGTCAAACCCTGCTTCTTCCAACCGTTTGTCAAGCCTGAGAAATCTGGCACGGTGTCTTTTTGTGCAGCTGAGCGGTGATTCTTGGGCGTGCCGAGCCGCGGCTGAGCTCCTCCAGAGTCTGCTCTGTGCCATCTCTGTTCGAACTGTGGTGCTACATCATCCTGGCGTGAGCCGTTTCTTGCTGGAGGAGCGTGGCCAGGCCATCCTGCAGGGCCTGGAGAGGGGCTTCTGCTGTGCCTTCGGGCTGGAGCACCTCCAGTGGCGCTCCCCAGAGACCCAGGTGAGTACCCTGGAGGAGGGGATGGGGCATGGGATGTGTGGTGGGGCCGGAGGCTGGAGTGCCGAGCTGGAGGCGAGAGAAGAGTTTGAAAAGGGGGGGCTGCCTCTGAAGGGCCTCTTCTCCCCTCCCCCAGCACGAGTTGGAGACCTCACAGGAGCCAATTGCCCTCGTGGGCCGGCGGGATTCCCTGCGTGGCCTCAAAGAGCATCTGAAGAGCCCAGTCGGGGAGGCCGACTGGCAAAGCGAAGCTAAGCTGGGTAATGTCTCTCCAGCTGCCTGTCCCTGGAGGTGAAGGACAGCAAGGGGCACCTGCCATCCCCTTCTGGCCTGAGGTTGGAGCTTGGGGTGAGGTTGGGGTAGCTTCAGGGTTCCCCCTTTCTGTGCAGGCCCACCTTATGTTGCTGCTTCCCTGCTCACTGGGTCCCCTCCCGTTGCAGAAGAGATCAAGGGCCTGCTGGCTGCCCTCCAGCCTCCCAGGGTGGCCCTTCCCGCAGCAGAGGAGGAGGAGGAGGAGGAGGAAGGCACGGCCGCGGAGCCATTGCCAGAGGTCCCCCCTAGCTTCGAGCAGCAGACCAGCTTGGCTGACCTCGACACAATAGAAGAAGGGCCCTTGCCCGTCCCAGGCCCCATCCCAAGCCTGGCATTGGAAGAGGAGGAGGAGGAGGCACAGCTGCTCCTGGCCATCCAGCAGTCCATGGACAGTGCTCGGCAGGAAGAGGAGGAGCTGGCGCGTGCCACTGAGCTCTCTCTGCGCTCCTTCGAGCAGGAGCAGCCGTCCAGTCCAGATGCCGACATCCTGTCTGTCATGAAGGCCTCTCAGGAGGCAGCGGCTGCAACTCGTGTTCAGGTCTACACCTCCGTGGAGGAGGATGCAGAGGCCGTGGTGCAGGAGCTGGAGCGTGCCCTGGGCATGCAGCTGCGGGAGGAAATGGTGCAGAACGAGGCCCTCTTGTCTCTGCCCGCTCTCTGCCTTGACTACCTGACCTACCTGGAGAGGAAGCACGCAGTGAGCATCACGCTCGCCGGCCCTGTAGCCACCGTGTCGGGCTTCTTGGACTACCCTGTGGCCGCCACCCGAGACCTTGCCCTGCTGCTGGCCCGGCTGCTGCACGTGGACGTGGCCGTGGGCTGTGGGGACGCCTGCTGGGTCCGCTGGGAGCCCTCTGAGCAGGGCTTACCCACCCCCTATTCGGCCCAGGCCAGTGCCCTGCTGGAGCAAGCGTGGTCCCGCGGCCACAAGCGCGTGGAGGTGTTCTTCGACGGGCGGCCTTTTGCCGTGGACTTTGAACGGATGGAGGAGTACGACGTTGGCAACGGCCGCACGCTGCCCATTGGCCGCACCCAGCTCCAGCTGCCACTGGCTTCTGCAGGTAGATGCCCCACCCGCCCAGTGGGCTCTTCTGGTGCTCCTCTTGTGGCAGCACAGGCCTCCCTGGCCATGCAGAGGGCCCCCACCGGGCCTGGGGGTGGGGAGGGCAGCAGCCGTTTCTTCACAGCCTGTACTTTCCTGCAGCCCTGCTAGACCCCCCAGCTGAGGGCGAAGTGAAGCTGCTTCCGCTGGCTGAGCACTCGGAGGACTTTCAGAGGATCGTCCAGGGCTTCTACGACACGCTGGCCGGGCTCCATGGCAAGCTCTGGATTGTCAAGGTGGCTGGTCGTCTCCGCCCCCTTCAGTGGAGGGGCAGCCCTTGCAGGCAGCAGGGCCCATCCTGGAGCCCTGGAGGCAGAGCAGAGGCTGGCTGGTTGGGGTCTCAGTAAGGTGCCATGGGGGGGGGGGACCTGTGGGGCTCTGAGGAGCATAAGGCCCTTGACCAGGTCAATTGGAGCTCTACCTGCTATGTTGGGATCCTTGCTGTCCTGTTGGGTTGTTCCCGTGTGCCAAACCTGGGGAGGGGCTCAGTTCTGCAGCCAAGGATCCCTCCTCCGCAGCTGCCCCTGCCAGGAGTTCAGCGGGTGCCCTGCTTTGCCCCACAAACCCTCTCTGGAAGAACCGAGCTGAGAAGGGCTGCTGAGCAGAAGCCGAGACCGCTGGCCTTTCGGAGATGGCTGCCTCTTTCTCTGCCGGCGGTCGGCCCTGCTGGGCTCCCTTGGGGGGAGGGATGTGAGCCAGCCCCCCCCCCCGGCCCTCATCTGTTGGAGCCCCCTGGGCCTTGCGGAGAGGCCCCCACCTGGCCTCACAAAGGGCTCTCCCCCTTCCTTTGCAATGGGCGGGGGTCTGGGATTGGCCCAGAGGACTCTGGGACGGGCTCCCCAAAAGCTGGGCCAGCCTGGTTCTGCCACTGGCACCACTTGCTCCAAGGGCCAAATTGGAAGAGGGAGGGATTTCCTCCACTGCCCTCTCCCCCCCCCCCTTTGGGGCTGGCTCAGAGCAGAGTTGGTGCCTGGGTCCCCTGGGTGGGGGTGCTGAATCTGAAAGAGGGGGGGTGCTTGGAAGCAGCCCAGGTTTGAGGTCAAGCGGCCCCGGTGCCCTAAGCCCAATGCGGTCAGTGGGGCAGGGAGGGCTGGATGTGGGACTGACTCGTCTGCCTCCCTGCTTGGCAGCTGGAGAAGGTGATGCACCCGCTGCTCTACCAGCAGTACCAGCTGAAGAAGGCTGCCATGGAGAAGGCCTGCGGGCACCAGGCGGTGGAGCGGATCCTGTACCACGGCACAACGGAGGAGTCCAGCCACGAGATCTGCCAGCACGGCTTCAACCGCAGCTTTTGTGGCAAGAACGGTCAGTGAGTGACTGGTGCGAAGGGACCCTCCTTGGTGACCCTTAAGGGGGCATTCCCATGGGAACAAGCCCCCCCCCCTCAGGCGGGCTGTCTGGCCTGTCCTGGGGATGTGTGCCCATTTCCAAGAAGCACACACACACACCCCTCCCTCCCTCCACGGAGAAGCCATGCCAGATGTGAGAGGGGCTTCAGCAGCCACATTTGTGCCCTTGAGGGGGGGCAGGAGGGGGACTAGCAGTAGGTGGAGAAGCTGAATTGGTGGGTGGTGGGAGGGGCTTCCGGGCACTGTGCTGCCAGAAGGAGGCTTAAAGGTGGCTGTGCCAGCCTTGTGACCCGAGGGTGCCGATGCCAGCCTAAGGCAGGAGGCTCACTGAGGTGCCCAACACCAGTCAGTATCCAGCCCATCATCGGGATGGGGAGAGAATGGGCAAAATGGCGCTCAGGCTCCCTTTTTTTACATTTGGCTTCCGGGGGGGGGGTGTCTCTTGGAGGCCACATCGGCTGCTGGCCGGGCACAGGCTTCCTCTTGGCTTCCCAAAGGGACGAGGGGGGCTGGGGGAGCCCTGCAGCGTCCTAGGTGTGAGATACTCCGCCTCCTTCAGCACTAGAGCTCCCGTGCTGAGTTCTCCTGCCCTTCAGCCTCCACCTGAGCTGCAGAACGGCAGGGTAACTGATCCTTTGCCTTTGGGTTGGATTTTCATACCTTAATAGGCGTTAAGCGATTTGTCAATCTCTGTAAACGTCCGTAAATGTGCTGTGTGTTTTTCACCATATTCTCGTCTGTCTGGATGCTTTTGCCTGTTTCCCACGTCTGACCTTGCTCTGTGCGTGACTGAATAAGCCCTCTCCCCTCCCCCACTTCCAGCCACTCACTACGGCCACGGCGTCTACTTTGCGGTCAAGGCGTGTCTCTCGGCGCGTGATCAGTACTCGCCTCGCAGTCCCGATGGCAACAAATACATCTTTGTGGCCCGGACGCTGGTCGGGGACTACACAGCGGGCAATGCCAGCATGCGAGCGCCACCCCTGCGGGAAGGAGATGCCGCCCTCCGGCGGTACGACAGCACGGTGGACGACCCGAGGAAGCCCTCCATCTTCGTCATCTTCAACGACACCCAGGCCTACCCCGAATACCTCATCACCTGCCGGTGGGTGGAGCAGAAGGCGAGGCCTCCCCCTGCCTCCCCCTTGCCGCCCTGGTGAAGGAGAGCCGGTTTCCCGCAGGAGGGCTGCTTGGCGGGCGGGGGCAGAGCTAGGGAGGGCAATGGGGCAGTGCGGTGGGAGCAGTTCACAGCGGGCAAAGCACGACAGTGCCCACAACAGACCTGCCTCCCCGCTCTTCCTTGAAGGTGGGCCTCAGGCCCTGCGGCTGCACCTGGGGGGCTCCCTTGCTGAGGTCCAGGCAGCCCCAGGGGTGATTGTGTCACCCAAGACACACAAGGGGGGCCTCCTGCTCTTCAAGGGCTCCCCCCCCGCCTTTTTTAAAAAAAAAAACATTTTCTTTAAAGCTACAGATGTGAATAAAAATAAATAAAGAACTTGTGTATCCAATTAAACAAGATTGGCTTTAAACTACTAAACCCAAAAAGAGCAGGAGAAAAAAGATTTTACAACCAATGACTCTCTTCAGTTTTTAAACAAGAAATTGAGCCTTGGCCGCCCAGAATCAAAACCTCTCCTGGTTTCTAGCCTTCACTACTGGACCAAACTGGCTCTTAGATAGATGGGCTTGTTCAATGTTTTTCTAGCACTCTTAAATTATTAACGTTACTGAGCTGTTGGTTTGCTTCCTGCCAGGTATTCCAAAACTTCCAGGCAAAGCGAAAACATTCATGTTAAAATGGGTAAAAGGAGCCAGTGGGTGGAAAAGATCCTGGCCTCGTCTACTAGCCATAATATTAATCCTAATAGCCAATAATGTCTCTTCTGTACCCTTAGAAGCCTGGTTTGCTCCTCTGCCGTTTCCCAACCACGTTGTTCCAGGTTCTTCCCTTCCATCTTTACAGAAGGGCTATTCCCCAGGGAAGCCCCGTGGCCAGCGTTGCCTTCTACCCCCATAGGGCCCCCCGCGGGGGTCTGCCTCAGCTGCTGGAAAGACCCAGAATTCCTCTGGCAACTCAGCCAGTCCTTGCCAGGGTGCCCGCCGGGCCCTCTGCAACTGGGCAGGCTGGCAGGCCCCTGGCTGTTGTGCCACCAAGGGATTGGCCGGAGAGGGCAGGCTGGGACTTAGAACTAAGGAGAAACTTGTCACACAGAACAATTTGCCAGTGGAACGGCTCCGTGCTCCATCACGGGAGGTCTTGAAGATGCCGTTTGTCCAGAGTGGTGCAGGGCAGGGGTGTCCAACTCAATTTCGTTGAGGGCTGCATCAGGGTTGTGTTTGACCTTGGGGGGGGGGGGCGGGATAGGCGTGGCCAGCTCAACATCACTTGTGTTGGATGCGCCTGTGATGGCCCGAGCACTCTGCCAGCGAAAATGGGCTCCCGAGCTCCGGCTGTGACGGCCTCCTGCCACCCTCTGCCAGCAAAGACGGAGCTTGAGGGGAGCCCACGTGGCCCCCTCGAGCTCTGTTTCTGACAGATGGCTTCCTGCACCCTCCCGCCAGTGAAAACAGCGGTCGTCCCAAGTTCTGTCTTCACTGGCCGCGTCACCATGGGCTGGCCCTTTGCTGTTTTCAGGGCAGCCCCATGGGCCGAATGTAAGCACCCTGCGGGCCGGATCCGGCCCCTGGGCCTTGCGTTTGACCCCCCTGGTGTAGGATCTCCTATTTGGGTGGAGGGTTGGAATGGAGGTCCCTTCCAGCTCTCTTTCTCTATTCTGTTGTTCTTTCTGCGATGACGTGTACCCTTCCCATCAAGCACCAAGGAAATCTGGAATGGTATAGGATCCCCTGTCATGGACGGGGGTGGGTGGGGGTGGAATAGAAGACCTTCCAGGCCCCTTTCAACCCTGCCCTATGTTCAGTCCCAAGAGGAAGCAGACAAGCAGGAGCCTCTTGAGGCGATAAGGGTGAAGGAGCCGAAACTGAAGGAGGAGCTCAGGAATATCTGGGAAGTGTCAGAATGAGGTCAGGAAAGATGGAGGTGAACTAAAGAGCAAGAGGGGGAAACTCCAGCCGAGATGCCGCAAGGGGAGGGGGGCCAAAGGAGATGCTGAGCTCACCAGGAAAAGCAGAACTCTGCACCCAGAGGGGCAGCAAAGGCGCTTAGACTTACTTGCACCACAGGGCTCTACAGCCCCCTCTAAGATGTTTACAGAGTCAGCATGGGACTCCCAGCAATCTGGGTCCTCGTTTTACAACCCCTGAAGGATGGATGGCTGAGTCAACCTCAGATTCTGGCAGTCGGCAGAATTAGCCTTCAACGCTGCATTCTGGCCCCTGCACCATCACGGCTCTTTGTGAAGCCAATTTGTGTAGCACAGGCTAGGAAGGAAATCAACAGGGGAGGGTAAAGGCCAGAAAGGATGCGGAAAGGACCTTCTGGCTAAGCCAGATGTCGCCAGTCCCTGATGAGCTATGCCCTAGCAGGCGGAAGGGCAAAGAGCTCTTCGGGCCTTCGTCTGGGGTCTTTAGAGAATCCTGTAGAACCAGGAAGATGCCAGAAGACCTAGGACCAGCAAGTGGACTCCACTCTTCCAACAGGAAAGGGGATCCTCCAATTGGGGAGCAGGTACTCAAAAACCTG